AAATAATTGCTGCTTTAGCACAGCCGCTGTTAACAACAGACAAAAGATGAATAACTTTTGTAGACCCACTGCGACGCGCGGAATCCGAATATGAAAGAATTATCTGCTAAAAGTGCAAGAGAGAAGAACTAAATGCCGTTTTATGTGGAATATCGAATTTTTGCAAACTGAACTGAAACTAAGTATGTCAAGGTTTTTTTTCCACGAAGGAAAGGGCTAGGATTTTTTTAAAGGTGATATTCGTGATCACCATTTTAAGGGCTATCGGCTGATGTATGTTTCAAACAGATCTATCATCTGCTGAAACTTTGAATTGCCCGCGCCTTACAAACCGTGGTCGAATCTCATCTAATAGACGCGTTTAAACAAGTTTATTATAAAAACGCGTAGGGACGCGTCAAAGTGTTGCAAAATGGTTACATCGGGAGTCTCTGTTGTAAGAGAAACATGCAGCTAGTAAAAATTACTCTTCACTACCTTCTCTTGTAGAGTGAAGAACTTGGTAGCAGCGGTTTTGTGTCCGTATATGCGGAGTATGCTTCTCCATATGTAGTAATCAAACGGTCTAAATTCGTAGCGATGGATGAACAAACGAAACGGCCATTGGAAACTGCTGATTGTCAATCATTAGTTCGTTATTATAGATTCTACACTGTGCTCAAATCAGACATTTATATATATTTAATTATCGAAAGATGCCAGAAATCATTTGAAGATCTTCTGAAAGATCCTGCATTGGTTCAAATATCACCAGATGAAATGATATTTTACCATATAAGTGCACTTCATGGACTTCGAGTGTTACATAGCCTTGGAATTGTACACGGAAATATAAAACCGTCAAACATTTTGCTTCGAAAAACAGAACGAGGTTTCCTTGCTGTTCTAACAGACTTTGGTTTATTCAAGTTTCGGAAATCCGTTGATCTGGATAAAAACATTGCTACAAGCTTGTATCGTGCACCGGAAGTGAAAACTAGAGAAAATTTGAGTGAAATTGCTGACATTTTCTCAATTGGAGCTACATTGTCAGAAATACTATGTATGGGTTCTGAACGTACACCGTTAGAAATACTATGTATGGGTTCTGAACGGGTTGCAACAGCGTTTCGGAAATGGAAAGAAAAACTACAGTGCGAGGAACGTTCGTATTGTGATGACCTCGATTCGATGGATATGATGATGGATTTCTTCCTGCCAAAGAAGCAGTTACATCGCCGCGGGCAAAGGACGAGTGGTCAATTAAACTATCGTTTCTGTGCGGAGAGTTTACGTTCTCTTCTCCATCACAAGGGTGATACTAGAAACCTGCTTGCGAAGGTCTTGATTAAATTGATCACAAACGTCGAAGCTCCTCCTGATTTCTTTGTACGGAAATATGTACAACAAACAATTGAACTTCATTGCACAAATACCATTATCATCGAAGACACTCAACAATCTGATCGAAAAGTAAAAGTGGCCATTAGCAAAACTGCAGCACAGCGTCTTAAAAACATGTGGGATAAGCAGCCTCCTCCCGAAACACTTCGCAAATTAAACCATATGTTAACAAAATTACTTGAGCCACCAAAAACCGAGTGGGCAGAAGCATTCGGTGATTAATGAATGAATTCCGATATTATGACAATAGTTATTTTCAATGTTCAATTTTCGTAGAGTTAAGAGAGTAGACACCATACGCATTACTCTACATTTTAACGAGAACCACAGCTCGAAAGATCTAATCCTAACAGGAGGGCTGGGAGATGGTACAAAGTTTGTCCCGAGATGTTCTTAGCTTACATCCGAGCCTACAGACCTTATTTTAATTTACTAGTCTTATCATACTTTCGTACTTTTATATCTGTCACACTTATGCTCCGTTAAGTGTTTTACTGCCTTTAGTCGCTTACTTAGTTTAGTCTTTCACTCTCTTAGTCCTTTTAGTCTGCTATTCCCCTTACTTCCTTCACTCCTCTTACTCCTTTACTCTTCTTACTCCTTTTACTTTTTTATTCCCTTTACTCCTTACTCTCTTTACTCCTTTCAGTCTCCTATTCCCTTTACTCGTTTTAGTGTTTTACTCACTTTACTCCTTTTAGTCCGTTTACTCTCTTTACTCCTTTTACTTTCTTAGTCCCTTTACTCCTTTTACTCTTTTATTCCCTTTCCTTTTTAACTTTAACAATTTACCTTCAAGCATATCCCGACCGGTATGTAAAAACGTATCCCGATCGGGATTAGGCATGCGCCGGTTTGTAATGATGCACATCTAATGCATAATTAATGCGCTGAAGTGTAAAATTTTTTCTCACTTAGAATAGTAGAATAGTAGGACAAAGGATTATTTTGGAATCTAAGAAATCCGCCCAGTCCTCGCAAGAGACGCTTAAAGTCTCAAACTCATTTTCGAAAAGAATTCCGCGTCATAAAATATAAGCCGAATTTATTTGATTCTAAACTTAAAAGTTGCTATATAAAAAAATGTTTTACATACACTCACTAGCTCAGAATCGAAAGTAAAGAATTGTAAACCTAGCTTTTATATATGGAACATACTTTCAAGTTTAAATCCAGACTATTTCGCCTCTCCAGGTTAATTTTATTAGTTATTATAAAATGACAGTTTTGATTCGACAGTATCAAAAGAATTAAACATTTGCAGTTGAAGTATAATTACAATCAAAAGACAAAACTTACGAGGCAACATTTTTCTGCAATTTGTCCCGATCCCGAAACCCCTAAAATTTTTCTTGGTGCCGATCCCGTCTATCCACAGGAAGGGACAGCCGGGATGCGGTGAGGGGCTGTCCCGCAGGAGTCTACTTTATATACGTCTTAAAGTCAATTTCAATCCTATTCTATTTCCTAAGGTTCCACCATAGAGAACAAACAGTATGTACTCGAAAAACACTACCGGTATTTGAGAGAATTGGGAGACTGTCATCGTACTGAAAAGTGAACCGGCTACAGTGTACAAGAAAATTCGACTCTCCAGCGCACTGTATAAGTTTTGGACGTAGATTTCAGCTTCGTTGTAAAATTTATGGAACTGGCCGTAGGTTAGTGCTATAAACGTGTTAAAAACTTTATTCGATATAGAATTGAGAATTGGGCAAGCGTATGTGTTTGCCAACGTTCGAGTGTGGCATGATCCCGGTTTTCTTGGATTGTCTGAAACCGGTACCGAAGTTTGTTTTAGTTGTACGCTGTTTCAGTTTTGGTAATTTTCAGGCCCCTTGTAGCTATTTGTAAATCGACTACAGTTCGGTGATTCGACTACAG